GGAAATGCAGGAGGAGAGAAAAAGCCTTCGACTACAGAACCAATTCTTGGTAATCCTGACTGAGCACTTCCCCACTGTGAAGCACAAAGTTGCAAGGATGGGGATGACCTGCAAGAGCTCATTCAAAAACCTTTTAAAATATAGAAAAGTAATCAACAGAGAAACATTTGTCAATAAGGTGAGCAGCACTTCCAACAAGAATCGCATCTGTACTGATGACTACCTGAGCTAAGCTGATTCATTCTAGGTAGCACTTCCCTAGTTGATGACTAGTTGATACAGGACAGCAGCAATCAGATTAAAAACCTCACACATCACTTCTCAGACCAAAAAACATGTGGGAGAACAACAGAAAAGGAGACAATTTGTTTCTCTCTTATGCAAGTAACATAAGAAAACATTTCACCCTATCTCAATCTCCATCTCCTTTCAATAGCACAAGCGTAGCATTCGTAAAGATGTACTACTCTATCAGAGGGCCACTGGCTTGAGATGCCCAATGTAACAGCCCACAGACTTCTGAAAGAATATTTATTTCTATTACTGCTTTAACACTAACTCACATACTCCTTTTTTGAAGTCCTGTACACACACACACACACACACGAATATACAAAAACTATGCGCACCGTGCTGCTTCAATCCAAAGCAACATGCAATACATTCCGGATGGAATACAAGAAGCCTAAGAGCATGGACACGAAATGGCGGTGGCAGCACACTCTCAGGAGCAGTACCTCAGCAGGCTCCTGGACATCAGCTGTGCTGAACAGAATCAGCACTGCATGGCAACCTCCCAGATAGCATGGGTCTGCACAGCACATGTGTGTACCTTCTGCCTACCACATCTACTTCACCACTACAAATAAGGCTCAGTAATCGGCGGAGGAAAAACAGTTTTGCTGAGTTCTTGTTTTCAAATGTGAAGAAGTAATCATCATCTTTAGGTTCGTACTTTCAATAGAATCTCACACCTCTCCTGCTTATGAAGAGCACTCTTCCACACAATTCTGTAGGGTGCTCCTTCTCCCTAACGTCCATGCTACAATGCCAGGAAGCAAAGGAGAGCATGAGAAAACTCAAGGCAGCAGACACAGCAGCTAGGTCTGGCAGAACTTCACGCCTCAGTCTTGAAAACCTTTTCTGTATGCCTTGTCACAAGGACAAAGGGGATGTGCTTCAGCACTCCTGCCTACATGGCACAAATCCTGAATCCTCAAGAGTCAGCATTCTGCACAATAACATCTGCACAATGCTGCATTCTTAAGTGAAACTGTAACATTAGTGAACAGTAAATAGTTCAACAGAGCACTGCTCTCCTCATCATAAAAGACCTACTCTAATGTTTATTTGACAGGTAATAAATCATCCATCCAACAAGCTTGGAGGGGGGTGTCTTTTTAATCAAAATAATTCCTTAGGGTTTGGCTGTGATCCTCTTCTTCCCAAATGAGCCCAGCCCAGGACTACGGACACAAAGGGCAAAGAGACACTACCCAGCAGAATACAGCAAGAGGAGAAAATGGCACTGGTAAGAAAGGCAGCACATGACAATTGTCACACAGCAGACAGTCATGCGGTAGTGCTTCACACTGACATGCCAGGAGCTCTTTGCAAAAACCTGGGATGCATAATTATGCCCTAGTTTTTCCTAGTCCCAAAAGGGAAGGACATTTATTTCCAACTCCACACTGATCACAGTAAAAGCCACAGCTGTTGGCTGCCTTGCTGGCTGGTGGACCAGAGATGAGGCAGGGGCATGGCAGAGAAGGGAAGGGTATGTGGCGGAGCTCCAGAGAACAGCCAGTGAATCCAGGAACACTGATGCTCCATGGCAAGATAGGAGGCCGTGGATAACTTTCACTAGGCTCAATGCACACAGCCATTAACTCCTTCTCCCAAAGTTTCAGGTCACAGTAACTCAACACTATACATTCAAAAGGGATTTTTCTCTGCTGTGCTGTAGCAAATGTTTTTTAAGCTATGAATTACTTTCTTGTAGGAGGCTTGATTATGCAGTAACATTTTCATAGATTGGCAAAACATGGCAATCACATTCAAAAACAAGCACTGTAAGTCTAATCTTTTAAAGAGAAAGTGGTAAGCAAATCTGCTTCAAATCACTTGGGTATTAACTTCAGCACTGAAAGTTTATTTGATACTTAAGGCTTTATATGCAAACCCATATTCACTAGGAAACCAATCAGATGACTACCAAACATGTGATAAAGTTCTTGTTCCCTACAATCTCTGTACCTTTAGAATAACTGACATCACTTACCTTCAATTTGGGTGCAAGACAAGCTAGCAACCATTTCCCTCTGAGCTGTTTTACAACATCTCTACACCCTCAAAAAAAGCTAACTAATAAACACGTCACACAGGATTTATGCCACTAGTTGGACATCTCTTAGGAGCACTGCTTCTCAAAATACAATCTGCAGAGGGAAGGAATGGGGCTGGCCTCCTTTTCCTCAGCTACTTAATTGTATGAAAAACAACTAAAATGCTTTGTGTTCCTTTCTAATATCAATTTCCTAGCAAGCAGGAGCTCGAGTCACCACAGCATTTTCAAAATCACTCAAGGTGACTTGCACAGGAGCCACCTGGGCAGTTCCCGATGCACAAGACTGTATCAAATACAGTACAGGTACTTTTCTCTTGAACTTTTCTCAATGTTTCTAAAGGTGTTAGGACCTCATGCAAAATGCTCTTATTTTCCAAGACAGTGAGCCATTGCTCAGCAACCTGTCCCAAAGAATGCTGAGTTTCTTACACAAGATGATTTTCAACATGACAGACCACACTTTAATCCCACAACACAGTGGGCTATTAAGTGAAACATCTATTCACTGCAGTATCACCCGCAATTCTTCCACCCTAGTTTTGACTTCCTCACTGGAAGGGTAGGAAAACTCTTGACAAACATTCAAAATAAGTTTCACACCGACCAAAAACATACAGTTATATTTTAATCACTTGATACCAACGATGAGCTCTCCAGGAAAGCATGTAGGAGATGGAAACATTCCATCTTCAGAACAGGATCCACATACCTTGCAGCGTGCGAGGCTTAGAGCTGCTGAACAGCAAGAAAGAAAACGAATAGCTGTTTGTTGAGAGGATCAGCTTCCCTAACGTACCAAGGCAGCCTGGGCTCCTACAAAACACGTAGGAACTCACTGTATTTCTTCTAAGAGATTAAAGGCAACTTTAACTGTGGAATTTCCTAAGCTTTGGGTACTTTCCTGGTAATTCTCTTACAACTCTGCACACATTTGATGTGCTAATTTAGTTTTGTGCAGACTCTTCATGAAAAAGGCAGCAGTTTCATTTCTATGTCTACTCTTTAACCAAATTAGAATGACACCAATATTGAAGATACAGGCTTTCCAGCCTTTTCTGTAGTAAGATAATATATTATGAGGAAATGGTCGGTCACAAGCAGAGTTTTCTCAGAATTTCCAACATTTTCTCACTATAAAGACCATTTTATCCAACAGCACAAGAGATCTTAACCTTTGGTTACCAAATAAAATGAAGCTTGTCAATGAGCAGCTTTCCCTCCTTCTTTGAAGCGAATCTTCTGAGCAAACTGTAAGCATTAAGCAGACAGACCCTTTAAATTGAAATTCTGGGTAGGAGTACAAAAGGAACAACACGAACAGCACACTTAGAAATCCACTGTCCACTGGCTCCCACTTCTTACTATGTGGTGCCAACCCTTTTGCATACAGCTGACCACTCACTGAGCCAATTCAGCTCCCTGAGCTGAAGGAAAACTACACCTCTTTCTTTTCCCCTTGGTTATTTCAGTTTTCTCCTAGAATAACAAATGCAGTCTGCTCACCAAAAGGTCAGACAAGTGTCAAGTCAGCAGAAGCATTTGGAGCACACATTCACGAGCATGATGCTTCAGCAGCACAAACCAACACCTCGCTGCTGCCAGACTCATCCAGACACAGCCTTCAAAAGACACAATGCTCCAACTGCCCTATTTCTTCTCAAAAACAAATGGGTTTTCTCCTCCTCTGTTAACAACAACAAAAGCACGCCAAATGCTTGCTGGTGTCAGCTTCGTATGTGTATATGTGGAAACAAGATGACAAGATAAGACAGTGGAGTAGTTTCCTCTATGAGCACTTCTCCAATCTTTTCCCATACAAGAAATAAGTTGTGTGCTTATCAGTACACTGCACGCATTTTCTGACCACCGCTGTGTATTTCAACACAGCATCTGTGACATTTCAGATATATTTCTACCTCTCCTTCAGATGTGCAGAAATTTACTTGAAGAGAGCTGAGTTCCCAACCCAAAGCCAGAGCGGTGCCAAAGCAAGAGGAGCTGAAAACTGCAGCATTTCTCAAGCCCTGTAGTCACAGAAGGAAGAGCTTCAAGATGCTGTCAAAACACTCACTCTCACCGCTCTCTCCCGAGGCTGTGATCAAAGTGACATTTACTGCGGCATCCTCTGATCCGCTGCCACGAAGTGACCACATCTCGCCCTGTAATTTTCAATCCGTTGAAGCCCGATCATTAATACCACCAAAGCACAAACCTCTCCGACTTCTCTGAACCAAAAAAAAAAAAAAAAAAAAAAAAGAAAAAACACCCTCCCCCACAAAGCCACAGCGACCAAACACAGATTCAGCACTTTCGCCCCTAGATCGGCTTCCCGCTCTGGGGTACGCTCAGTTTATCTTCACAGCCAGCGCGGCGCTCTGCCCCCCGGCTCGCACCACTCCGCTCACCCCCGCCGAGCTGAAGCGCGGCAGCCGTGCCCGCAGCCCCGCGTTCCCCCCGCCGGAGGAAGGCCTGCAGCCTTGGGCGGCCCCGGCACGCTGGGAGAGGGAGGAAGGAACGGGGCTCCGTCCCCGCGAAGGGGCTCTTCTTTGCGACGCGGGGCCACGCGCCGGTGGCGGAGCACAGGTGGCAGCCCGCTCCCGACCGTGCAGCCACGCAGGGCCCGTTTCTCTCCCTCGCCCGCCCGCTCGCTCACCTTTCTGTGCTCCGGAGCCCCGCAGCAGCGGCGGCAGGAGGAGGAGGCCGAGGCGGAGTAGCGAGGCCGCCTGCCGGGTCCCCGCGGGGAGCGGCCGCCCCGGGCTCACCATGCCCCGCGGCGTGGCCGGCGGTCCGAGCGCATCGCGGGCTGCGGGGCGGCCGGGTCGGGCCGCGTCTCTGCCCTGCGCCCCGCGGCCGCCGACGGACCGAGCGCACGCCCCCAACCGCAGCCAGGCGCCCCCTGCCAGCGGCCCAAGCGCTTCCGGGTGCGCGCCGCGGCTCCCGGCGGCTGAGGGGCTGCCCCGCTTCCTGCCGCCCCCGTGGCCCGCCCCCGGCACGCGGGAGCCCCGGCCTCGGGAAGGCTCCTCAGAGGCGGGGCGGCGCATTCGCCCCGCGGGAGACGGGTCCGCGTTTCGCCGCCCCTCTTTGTGCCTCCTCGATTCTCCCTTAAGATCTGACCGAGAGCATTTCGCTTTTGAGGCAAAACTGCTTCAGAAAACTCGGTGGAGGCACGAGTTTCGCTGTTTCAAATAGACAAGAATAAACTGGTGTCGCTGGTCTCCGCTTATAAACTCGATTCCAGCTCTAAGAGAGAGAACAGCCAAGAGGGCTCAGGGCGTTGCAATTCCAACTATTTCTCATCTAGCTCTTGGAACACCTAGCGTGTGATCAGAGGCTGGTTATAGAGGGCTACACTCATCTAGACGATCAGGTATTTTGAAGAAAAAGAACCTATCTTTCAAGTTATCAAGATCTCTTTATTATTATGTAATATGTAGTAGTATGATTACTATTATCAATCACTATTATCAAGAAAGCAAAATTGCACTTCTGGAGAGACTTAGAGTAGCTAGTATTGCACTGAACTAGCTGCCCAAGGCAACCATGAAAGCCTACTTGGGGGGCAACAAGCACTCAAAGCATTCTCTGCATCCCGCAGCAGTTCCGTGAGGCAGATGCTGCTTTCCTGACCAGCCGTGTCTGCACCCATGGCAGGAAGGGCACCTTAGGAGAAGCCCTTCTCAACCACGCAGCTGCTCAAAGAACTGTTTGAATGGCTCTCACTGATTGCGTTAAGACTACTGTTGCTAGTCAAGATGTTGAGAGTAGGCAGACGGTCAAGTTGAAGCTCAGTGCTTACTGAGGCTTTTTTCACATAAAGCACGCAGGGTGTACGAAGCGTTCCTTAATGCAAGTTTACTAAGTTTTACACTTTTCTCCTGCTGATACCTTCTTAGCAACATCTCAGTGAAAGCAGTCAATGAAGGCTGTCTGACATGAGGCTGTTTTAAGTCAGCTTGTAGGATGTAATAGTCACCGAGACATCCCGCAGCACGTAATGGAAGATGGGCTGTAATCTATATGTGCTCCTTTGTCTCCCATTCAGCAGACGCAGAGGTTCATACCGCAGGTCACATGAAGCAGTTGTATCACTGCAATAACATCCTTTCTGCACTATAGAGACCACATTCCTAGGATCACTAATCATTAGCGGTATTTGTTGTGTACTGGAAAAATCGCTCCTTGAATAATTTGTGGCTTAATAGTGCCGTGCATTAACATCCTACACATAAATCAGCAGTGTTCCCTGGTGGACTCGGAAAGGTTTTCTCCTGCATTATTTTTTGTTGTGAAGACTGTGTGTGGTATTTTCCTAGCTCGATTCAACTGTTCTAAAGGTTTTTATTTGCTCATGTGAAAAGAACACTGGATTTGGGAGAGGGCTGATTTCTACAAGGGGTATGAGAACTTGCAGTGATTCCTAAAGCTGCCAGAGGCTGAATTTGCTTCATCTATCTTACAAGTTTGTCCTGGAGCCACATTCCCTAACCACAAATGGCTCATGCAGAGCTCTAGGATACATACTTCACAAAGAGAACGCCATCCTGATGGAAGTGGTGACAAACTATGACAGTTTATCCGCTCTAAAAGCCTTAAAGATTTATGGAATATACGGAGCCAAAGAATGAGGAATATCATTCCATTAGCAATGCAACTGTTTGGATGGCTTGTCTTAATACACACTTTTAATGCAGAAAAAAAAAGAAAAAAAAGAAAAAAAAAAAGAATAATTAGATAAATCCAGATGGTCTCCCTGGCTTTCAAAATCTTCCTCCTCCTAAGAAGAGTGCAGCACAAAATGAGTTTAAGTAGACCATCTGCAGAGTGCTGCACATTTCAGTCTGTGAGAGTTCCCAGGCAACTCCTCTGGGGGAAACAGAACTGTATATAAAGACTCCATTTTAGACTGTGACTTAAAACTGCCCCTGTCATCAAATCAAAACACATACATAACTAAAATGTTATGGGAGACAAATACAGTATCATGCAATATCAATACCATAAGGCAAGGTGCCAACAAATACTATGAAATCAGCACAAATCCTTTTTTTTTTTCAAGAGGGTAGGACCAAAGATTAAACTAACTTAGTGTCAACAGAAAAATGCTTAGGCAATTGAGCATTTCTATAATGTTTCCTTTCCATTACGAGTAACTTCTAGAGGTAAATGCAGATATGTAATCTCCATCTGGTTCTCTTCCCCTGAGAGGCTTCTGATGCTTCTTTCCCACTGTGTTTCTCTAGCTTTCCTATTCTTTTATTATATCTCAAAAGCAGAATTCAGCTGGAGGGCAGGGCTGCTATTCAGAGAGACCTTTATGATCTATAGTAAGAAGTTGACACAAACCTCCCAGACCCTAAGAAAAGCAAGTGCAAGCTCTTGTATCTGAAAGGAATTGCCCATTGCAACTATATATTCTGGAGGATATTCATAAATAGTCTGCAGAGAAGAGGACAAGCTGCACGTCACAGTGAAGAAAGCCATTGGCATCCTGGACTATGTTAGCAAGAGGTCCAGAGGCCAGCAGAGCTACAGAAGCGATCCTTCACCTCTATCCGGCTCTTGTAAGACTGCATCTGTGTACTGTATCCAGTTTTGGGCTCCCCCCGTTACAACAACGATATTGACCTGCCAGACAGAGTCAGTTCAAGAGGTCTTGAATGGTCAGGCCCTGAAGAACATGCTGCATATGACAGGGCTGAGAGAGGTGGACATCTTCAGCTTGGACAAGAGAAGGCGGAGGGGAGATCTTGCAATTACCTGATAACTGTGTGCCTACAGGACAGGGCTGGAAGATGGAGCTGGCCTGTTCTCAGAGGTGCACAGTGATAGCAACAGACGTAAGTAGCAACAAGGAAAATTCCATATCCAGATAGAAGAGGAAAAAATACCATAAAGGTGTTCAAACACTGGAACTGGCTGTCTGGAGAAGGTGTAGAATCTCTAATTTTTGCAGGTTAGTAGCCCTTTTACCTAAGAGGGAGAGATCCAGTGTCCTCCTGATGCCTGCCCATGAATAACTGGATCCATGTTATCTCTGAAACTGTTCAAGCTCTGTTTATATGCTACGGAGCAGTATATTCACTGAAATGTGGCTTTATAATTTAACAGCCACAACAACACTGGAACAAAAACTCACCCTTGTCAGAAAATTTTTTGTTGTTAAATTATTTGAATTAAGACAGTACCAAAGCCATTATTGTAATGCCATATTCAAAAAGCCATTTTATAACCATATGGTTATTGTTCTCCTTTGCCATAATTCCGCTTTTAAGAAACACATTTTGACAAATGATTCCATAGTATTTTTAATTAAAAATCCAAAGAGGAACCATGAAGAATTGTGAGTAACTATAACCTATCATGAATTCTGCCTATTGAAAATACCTCTGGATTTTCAGAAAGTTATGTGATATTTCATATGTTATTTGACTAACTGCAGTTACCTTCTACTGCTGTTTTCATTTTTTTCTTTGTTCCCATTTTAACTGCCTGCTATACTGATTTTTTAGGGAAAACAAAGTCCCAGTTGTAGAATGGCTTTGATTTCAACCTTTTAGAAAGGAAAATGGATATCGATTGTATATTATTCACATCAATGGATGTAATTAATCTCATCCCCAGAAACACATTTACAAAACCACCACGATATATCTACCTAAGATTAATTTTTAATTAACTTCAGATAAGAGCTTTATGATCGTATATAAAACACATTTATTTGACAGTCTCTAGCTTTGTGTTTTTAAAAGAGAAAAACCACTTAAAATTTAGTTTCACGCTATTTTGGTAGGAAACATCTGTTAATTTTACTGGGCCTAAAAGTCATTAACAGAGCAAAATTGGTAGCATAAATTCCAAAAACAATTTTCTTTTACATTTTACTGCATTGTGTACGTGAAGCAATTCAGGAATACTAGGAAAAACAACAACAAGAAGAAGCTATTTTTTGTTTCAACAGAGTAACATAGGGAAGAAAAATTTTAGGGAGGATTTCAAACTGTCTTCTACCCTCGGAGGAGTTCATATGTATTGGATCAATGCCAAGGCCCACTAAAGCCCTCCAAGTAAAAACAGTCTGAAAAATGTTAAAGAGAAATTGTGTCTTTTAGTGTAGGTTTTGTGTTCTTAAAGAAGAGCAGTTTTCTGAAGTAGCATGCAGTCTGAATTCCCTGACTGAAGTGAATCCTACAGTTCAGTGACAGCTGAAGGACAAGACTGTGTTAATTATGCCATTAATTTAGCACATAAGCACAGGCAGGATACTAAGCACAGGTTCAGCCTCTGTGGGACTGAAAAGCACACTTAAAAATTCAATCTGTATTTTGCTCAATCTGCTGCCTCAATTATTTGCACCCACATAATCTCAGTTTCATAGTTACCCTATTAGCCTCCATTTCAGTATTTTACACTTTTGTGAGGACCTCAGTTTCTCAGCTTCACTTCTTTTATGCAAACCCCAGTTCGAAATGGGCTTTCATGCTCTGTGCATCTCATTCAAATTCTGTATCTTCCCTGTCTTTTTTTAGTCCTTTTCTCTTCCTGCATCTTTATCTTTTACTATTTTTGCCTCTGAATCACTTTTAGCCACTGGACTGATTCATAGCTTTACTCATTCATAGCTGATTGATAGCATTACACTGATTCCTGCTTCCAATCTCACTGACTGGTGACACCTACAGAAATATTAGACATCTGGCTCTCCAAAAGATGAAGCTCTATAGTGATACATTTAAGAAAATATAATGAACAACCTCATAAAGGTGAA